TGGAGCCGTGACCCGCCCCCTGCCGCACCTGAGCGCACCTGGCCGCAGAACGGCGCACCGCGCCCAGTGTCCCGCCGCCTCCCGGAGGAAGAAATAGTTCCTGGAACGCGGGGATGTCCCCGGCCGCCTCTGGGAGGGAGCCGTCCCTCCCTTGACTCGCCCCGAGCTGTCGAGGTAGGGACAGGCAAACAGTGGCCAGCTCCTCCTGAGAAGGATCGGCCAGGAAAGGGTGGCCGCGAACCCAGCACCAGGTTTCAGGGCCCACAAGTAGGGTCAAAGGGGCCGAAGGCGTCGCGGCGCCTTCCCTTAGGACGGATACCGGCTTACCCTGTGTCTACTCTGGAGGCGGGCGGAGCCCGAAGTCCCAAGGGACAGCGAAGAGGAGGGGTTGAAGTGACGAAAGGCTAGAGCGGAAGGGGCGCGGAGTCCGAGATGCGAACCACACGCCCCACCCGCACAGCTGCTGGAGAGGCGTGGGCCACACCAACGTGGGTTCCACAGCCACCCTTCTTTTGCGACCTGGCCGCTCTCAGGGAAGAGCAACGTGCTGGTTTCACTTTCCAGGTACTCATCTGGAGCCCAGCGACTTCAACTTCCCATCCACCTCGACGGCGCGAGCAAGTGCAAAGTTTCGCGTTCCCATCCTGCCCCCAACCCCAGTTTCGGGGATTTTAGGTCCCAGTAGGGAAAGACGGCTCTCCCTGAGTGGGCAGAAGGTGAGAGGTCCAGTACATCCAGCCACGGTAGAAAAGAAATCGACTTTTAATGGCTTTGGCTTTATGGCATGAAGCAGGCACCCTCTCATTAAAGGCACAGAGTCCTCTTCCGCCCCACCTTCTGGGCCTCTGAATACCAGTCCTGAGTTCCAAGGGAGTCACTGCAAGGCAGCACTCTCCCACTTGGGACTAGGAAGCCCTGTGGGCAAGGCAAGGGGGCAGAACATGGGTCACTCTTCCAAGAATCAGACATCCAGCAGAGGCCCAACTCAGATCAGAGTTTGGGCACAAGGGCAGCTGGGATGGTCCCTGAGAACAAACAGCCCAGGTTCCCCAAAGATGGCTCTAGCCCCACCCTCCCACTGTCAGTACTCCAGATCCTTGGGCAGGGTAAAGTCCCTGAAACTGTAGAAGGAGATGTCCCCGTGATCCACCAGGGCAAAGATCAGAGGGACATCCCCACTCTGGAAGGTCAACCGCTTGAGGCTGCAGAGGTCTGGGACAGGCTCATCAAATCTGTAGGTATAAGGGTTGGACTGAGACACGGTTGTAGCCCCTCCACCAATAAGCCCCAAGACCCCACTCCTCAGTCTCCTGGGGAAGGGAGATTATAAAACGGACTAGGGAGTACAAGAATTCTGGCCCCTGGGTTCTATCTACAAACTAGTGACTCTGATGACTTCTCCAAGAAATCCCAAGTGCCCTGGCTGGGTAGGGAGCTGGGAATAGTAAGGTTCTCACCAATCTTAGCCTTTAAAGCCCTCCAATCCACATCCCCTCTGCTCAGTGAGCCCAGGACTAATATGGCATAGGAGAAAAACTACTCAAAACTGCAAACAACGAGGAGCAAGGGCTGGGAAGCTTGGGATTCTGTGGCACTAACTGGCTGTGTGGACTTGCGTAGGTCAACCAACCTCTATGGACCTCAGGTTCTTAGGGATTGGCAAAGTGGCCTGGGGGTGGGCAGCGGTGTGGAGAGAAGGTCCGCATGGTTCACAGGAGAGCCAGCACAGCCCAGGAGTAGTGCTCGCTTATCTCGTACCCACTAATGCACATCCGGGCATAGGGTTTGCCGGGGCTATTTTTTCGGAACGTGGCCACAGCATCAGCCTGGTAAACATCAAAGCTGATCTCCAAGCCTCCGGACTTCTCCAGCAGCCTGAGAACAGAGTGAGAAACTTTGGGACAAGGACCCTCCGATCCTTCCCTTCCCATCACATCCCTTTCCACTGCTAGTTCTAGTAAGCAGCCACATCCAGGGAAGCAAGGCTGAGAGGTGTCAGCTGAGGGGAAGGGGCTCCAAACACTTGGGACAAACCCACCGTCCTGCCAACCCTCCCTCTCCCTTAGACACGCATGAACATTAGTAGTAAGCGAGGGCGGGTCCCCTTGCTTACCCCCAACTCGAAGCGGCCACATCCCCACTGTCATACTCCCTGGCTGCCAAGTGTCATGAAGATGGGAACTGCTTGGAAACTTACCGGGCACCTCCATCAGCAAGGTGTGTTGTCTGCAGCACGGAGATACGCTGAAGGACTGTGGCTACAGGACAGTGAAAAAGAGCTGTGGTGGGGAGTCAGCCTGACTCCCTTGACATTGCCCAGTCTATCAAGGCTAGGGTTGCCAGATTTACCAAAAATATTTTTAAGTTTTTTGTATTTTTTTATTTGTACATGGTACTGGGGGTTGAATCCAGGAGCACTGTACCTTCAGCTACATCCCCTATTAATTTGAGCTACAGCCCTACTAATTTGAATTTAATTATTTATTCTGCCTTGCTGGTGGTTAAGCCCAGGCATGTGCTACCACTGAGCTACAGTCCTATATCCCCAGCCTATTTTTCCTTTTTATTTCGAGCCAGGATCTTGCTAAGTCACTAAATTGCCCAGGCTAGGTTCAAACTTTATAGTCCTCCAACCTCAGTCACCTAGAGCAGCGGTGGCCAACCTATGGCACATGTGCTGCAGCGGGCTGTTTGTATCCCTGAAAGCTCTAAAAGGTTCACCATCACTGTCCTAGAGTATGCACCACTGTACCCAGCTTATTTTTTTGACACAGGATTTCACTAAATTGCCCAAGATAGGCTTGAACTTGCCTTCTTCCTACCTCTGCCTCTGGAGCAGCTGGGATTACAGGCATGTGCCAACACAACTGACCCAATTTTTTTTAGTGTATGTCCAATGCAGTATTTGGAACATACTTACGTTTAAAAAAAATTAGCTGTTGCTTATCTAAAATTCAAATCTAACTGATATGGCAACACTAATCTAGTTATCTACAATCTGTACACCAGATTTCCAAGATTTTAAGTAGTTTTGAATCTGTATCACATTTAGGGGAGGCCATTCCTGCCCTAGTAGTTTCCTGTGTTTAAAACCAGGAGCAAATAGTGAGCTTCTTAACTGAGCCAGGCTGGCACCTGCATGTTCTAGCTAACTGGTTTGGGAGGGGAGAGGACCACAGCCAGATGGTGGCAAAGCCATCCAAGTTATACTGGTTGGTTATGGTCTGTCCCTCCCCAGCACTAGAGACTGAACCCATGGCCTTTGCAGTGAACTATATCCCCAGTGCCCCCCTCCACACTCCCTTTCTGGGACGGTCTGAGCTGTTCAATTGCCCAGATTACCCTTGATCTTGCAATCCTCCTGCCTCAGCTTCCCAGAATGCTGGGATAACAGGCATGCGCCACCATACCTGGCTTTGGTTAGGGTTTTAAGGACACAGTCAGTTTTCTCCCCTCCTTGACACTCCCTGGGCACTGACCATCACTAAACCTTGCCCTGTTGACTCTGCTGACAACAGAACTATCTTTGTGGATTCCATGTCAGTGAACAGGTGTCTCTTCCCACATCCTAAACCTCAATTAGTCCTAGGCAATCCAGGTCCTTTTCAAAGTCTGTGAATCCTCAGCTGTCAGTGGCCTGCACGGGTACAGCAGGGTAAGAGGAGTACCTGGGGAGTTCGCCTGGCCAGGGGTCAGCAAGGGAGTGACGGGCTGGCCCCACAGGTGCTGGGGGCAGCTCTGGCTCTTCTGCAGGTGTCGCCTCTGCAGCAGTTCCTTATATTCCTGCCAGCTGGAGCAGTGCTGCACCTCAGGATCTGTGTTTACATCCTCCCAGAACTGCTGGGCCATTGCTTGTTGTTCTTGCTCCCGTCGGGAAAGCTTCTCCTTTCGCTGGTTCAGCTTCTGGCACCAGGACTCAGCGTCTGTCTCCCGCCCAGCAACGTTGGCCGGGAGGAGCTCTGGGGCTGGTGCAGGCAGGAGGGTGTGGCGGCTATCTGAAGCCATGTTGGGGAAGGAGATCTGCTCAAAGTTCCAGCGAGGCTTCCTATCTCCATTCTCTGCTTTGCCACTCTCCTGGCCACACCCCTGTCCCTCCCTGGCGAGACCAGGGCAGGGCTCCGGGGATCCCAGAAGCTGAGATGAGACTCCTGGGGCCTTCATGGGGCTTGACTCCTGGGGTTTCTCTGTGGAGCACTGGCTGTTCTGGATGCTGGCAGGTGGGCTGGAGGCTGCCAGGCTTATGGGTAGCAGGGAATCCTCCAGGGCCTTGGCCTTCTTATAAACAGACCTGAGGGACATAGGAGGAAAAGCAGCAATCTGTTTCTGATTGCTGAGGCACACACATTCCACAGGAGCTGAGGAAGGCTGTCCCCTGTGCCAACGTGAGCACTGCCCAAGTGCAGCTCTATACCCACACACTCCCTGGGGTCCCAGGCACCAGTATTCCCTGGGGGCGGTCACGTGAGCAGACATTACCGAGAGCTGGCACTCCTTTTCCTCTTGCCAGTCCCATCCTCTAGGTGCTGGGCGTAGCCATCCAAGTTAAGCTGCCTCTCGTAAGGGGACAGGACAGAGCTGTAGGGTGAGAACAGCGGGCAGGCAACAGATCCACCTCTTCAGGTTGGTGTTCCTAGCGGGGGTTTGTGAGGGACTGGCCAAAAGGACAAGTCAGGAACCAGGGTCAAAGCCACATACAGAGTAAGGCTCCAAGCAGATCTGCATGAGGGTACAAGGGAGTAGTCACAGGGGCCCAGGCCTCTGGGTGTCACCAATGGCACCTGTGAACATAGGCTCATTAGAACTGGGGCTCCTGAAGGGCCAGCGACACATGAATCAGCCTGAGGGTATAGCTCAGTGGCGCAGCACTTGCCTTGGCACACTTGATTGAGGCCCTGGGTTCATTCCCCAGGACCACAATTAATAATCAATCCCTAACAAGAAAAACCAAGAGGAAATAAAACACTTGGAAAATACAGTAAAACAAAGATGAAAATGGCACCAAGCATGGTGGCACATGTGCAGAAAAGCCCTAGGTTCAATCCCCAGTGGTATCAAAGGGAGGAAAAAAAAAGGATGAAGACAGTAAAAACCTTGGATAACCACTCGGAACACCATTTATTATACATACATACTAACTAATGTTTCCCATGTATTTTTTTCTGAATGCAGTATCATTACACCAACATGCTGCTATGTAATCTTTTTTTCCACTCAATAATGTATTACAGACTCATCCCCTTAGAATTATAGCATTCTTCCTGGCCATAAACTTATGATGGCTCCCGATGCTGCACCGTTCAAGACATGTGGTTATCATATTAACTGAAATGAAATGAAAAATTCACTCCCACAGTTGCACAAGCCATAATATTAGCCTAAGCATTGGACATTTCATCGATACAGAAAGGTCTATGCACAGCTTGGTTCTAAGGGAGGCTCTAGTTTGTGTGAACTCTTAGCTTACTTCCAAGTACACTAATTTTGCAAGTTTTTGGAAGGTATTCTGTGTATGCACCTCACTGAAGGCAATCAGAGTGGGAGCAGTGTTTTGGCTCCATTCCTCAGCAACAAGTATAGGATCTTGCACCAGTAACTGGTCAATAATACTGCTGAATGAATGAAAATTCTCAGGAGAGCACCTCTGCAGGTGAGCGTGATTATTTCCCTAAAATAGACTCCATTTTTAGGAAATATGGGACATGTCACTTTTAGAGCTTTGGAGACACACTATGTAATTGCAAATGTTGTACCAGTTTCCACCCCAAGTCTGAAAGTCTCTGTAGCTCTCGGCAATGTTGCATTGCTAAGGGATGAAGGAAAGAATGTCTAACAGCATAAGAAATGTGAAACCCAAGCATAAATTCCTCACTTGGTCCTTCACTCATACATGAACTCCACAAATCTGCCTTCACACCTACCAAGTTTGAGGCGCTATTCCAGTGCTCACAATGAGCTGCAGGTACTCAGTCATCTGAAGAGGAGTCTCAAGTTAATAACGCAGTAAGAAATATAATAGGATTCATCCCTGATGCCTAGGAGCACTTCCAGGGGAGGCTATTAGTCAAAGTCCAGGGAGCTGCACTCCAGCCAAAGGTTCCAGCTAAGCAGGGATACTTTCTACCTAAAACTGGTCAGCCAGGTCCCTGGACTAGAGTGAATGGAAGGGAAAGGAATATGGACTTACCTTGGCTGGAATCGTCGAACCACATAGCCCAACCTCTTCAGGTGGCTGAAGACCTCAAATGAAGAAAAGTAAAGCTCAAATGTCCACTCTTTTATTATTTTGTTTCATCTCTAGCCCTCTTTTAATTTTTTTTTTTTTTTTTTGAGACAGGGTCTCACTAAATTGCTAGGTTGGCCGAGATGGGCTCAAATTTGCTCTTCCTGCCCCAGTCTCCTAGAGTGCTGGGGTTACAGGAAGTGTACTACCACACCTGGCTCAAAATAGAGCTCTTTTGAGTGGTTCCATCCCCGCAAGTTTGCCCTTCCCTCAGTATTTTCAGCCAGAAAATGACAGCACTGGCTCATGCCCCAATCATGGGCACACCCTCCCTCCCATTCTTTGCAGTGCCGGGTATTTAACTCAGGGCCTTGCACATGTAAAGCAAACCTTCTACCACTACGTTATACCCTCAGTCCCCACGGCCATAATCTCTGATTCTTCCCTCTTTTTAATGTGAAACCCAATCCAATGGCAAAGTTCTGTCTTTTTTTCTCCAAAACATTTCTAAGACACATCCATCTATTTTCACTCACTGACACCTGTCCAACCCCAAATCGAGCTAAGTAAACCTCTATCTTCTTTCACTTGAATATCTCAGCCTCTATCACTTCACCTCCCTCATTTTATCTTCTGCCTAGCACCTACTTCTCTATAAAGCCTACAGTTCACTTGCTTGCTTTTTATTATCCAATTACCACAATGAGGATGGAAGGCTTGTGACAGCAAGGCCCTTATAGCTCCAGTATGTGGCACTGTGCTAGCACCTCATAGGTACTTGTCACTACGCACTGACTTGGTGAATGAGAGGTCGGGGAAGTACCTGGTATTGTAGGAACGTCACAGTGTCCCCGGTGAGCAGCAGCTGGTAGGCCTCCTGGATAGACAGCGGCAGGTCTTGGTGAAAAAGCTGAACAGAGCCCTGGAAGTGGGGTCACAGCTCAGCGGTGCACTCTTTCTGCACTGCCACAGCCAAATGGGGCAATCTCCCCACCACTACCTCCCAGTAAGAATACAGCCAACCAGGAGAGAGGGGCAGCCCCCTGATTTGGGCTGGCATCCCTGATCCCTGTGTAGTATTTTTAAAAGTAAGTTTTACTAGTACATTTGTGATACACCACTAATTCATTCAATGTGGGGAGTTCGTACATATAATTACAGCATCTTAATCCTTTTTTTTTTCCTCTTTCTTTCTCCCCCTCTCCATCCGTAGATCCCCTTCCCATCTACAAATATTCTGCCTCCCTGTTTCCTATCATCATTTGTTTTGCTCTTTAAATTATTTACACTTTGGGTTTCTCCTATAGAGAAACCACCAGAAAGGCCAATTGAAAGTTCAATGGAAATGTAGTTGTGTGTGCTTTTTCCCCACGAAACATGTGTCCCTCCCGTTCCTTGGTCCAGATCCCTTCTCCATTCTCCGGGGGCTGCACTCACACACTCCAGCAGATACAAGGCCTCTTCCGGGTGAAGGCGCTGCCGGCCCTGCTCTGAGAAGCCCATGGTCTGCCAGAATTTACCCTGTATGAGACCCAGGGAAAGTATCACAAGATAGCCAGAAGCGCATAGCAGGCAGGTCCCCTGTCCGAGCCCCGCTGCTCACCGCAGGAGACTTCAACTCCGCGAAGCCTTCTTCCGGCCTCCACTCTGCGGCCACCAAGCTGCCCCTGGCGAGGAGTGGGGAGGGGTCCACTCGCTCAGACAGCCCA